TACATCGACTGACAAATAGCCTGACTCGCAAGGGAGTGCTGCTACAACGACTGACAAATAGCCTGACTCGCAAGAGAGTGCTGCTACATCGACTGAGGGTTTGGTTTGGCCAGGCAGTCTATAAATTAAAAAAAAAAAATTAATTTTATAAATTTTTAAAACTTTTTCTGGTCTGGTTTATTAACGCGCTCTTTAAAACTACAGTTTATGGGAAATTTTTTTTGATGCCACGCAAGAGACATGCAAGAGTATATATATATATATATATATATATATATATATATATATATATATATATATATATATATATATATGCACACACATGTATATATATGTATATATATATATATATATATATATATATATATATATATATATATATATATATATATATATATATATATATATATATATATATATATATATATATATATATATATATATATATATATATATATATATATATCCTTATAGTGTAGTCGAAAGAGACTTTTAATGTAAAAAAAAAGTCTCTTTTGACTATAATTTTGCTACCTCGACAATTACACTACATTTTATTGTCATTGAAATATCAAAGCAATTAAATTAATGCAGAAATACATTAAATTTTATTGTTTTTTAAAAAAACCGCAATAATAATAATTAGAAAGTTTTTTTTAATTAATAGTGTTTTTGTTGTTGTTTTATTAAAATATATTTTTAAAACATGCGCAGAGTGTTGCTACATCGATTATCTTGTAGCCTGCTGCAACAAGGGAGTGTTGCTACATCAACTACCTTATAGCCTGACTTGCAAAAGAATGTTGCTACATCGACTATCTTATACCCTGACTTGCAACGAAGTGCTGCTACATCGACTGACAAATAGCCTGACTCGCAAGGGAACACGGCTACATCGACTGACAAATAGCCTGACTCGCAAGGAAGTGCTGCTACATCAACTGAGGGTTTGGTTTGGGCAGGCAGTCTATGATTTAAGAAAGAAATAAAAAAAGTTTTTAAAATATATTTATATATATTTTAAAAAAACCTGACCTGACATATATATTGTATACATATTTACATATATATATATATATATATATATATATATATATATATATATATATATATATATATATATATATATATATATATATATATATATATATATATATATATATATATATATATATGTATATATATATATATATATATATATATATATATATATATATATATATATATATATATATATATATATATATATATATATATATATATATATATATATATATATATATATATATATATATATATATGTAAATATGTATACATATTTACATATATATATATATATATATATATATATATATATATATATATATATATATATATATATATATATATATATATATATATATATATATATATATATATATAGAGCGATTTTGCGTGTAGCTAGAGCTATTTGCGTCGAGTAAAAAATTTTTTGTTTGAGTATATTTAAAGATATTTTTGAGCGGAATTTTAATGAAGTAATTTACGATTATTTTAACATTTAATAAAGTATTTTAAAAACCGCACGCAGTTGATATAAAAGTTTGAATTACAAAAAAAATAAATATGCTCATTATTTACAAGTAGAAAAAATTCAGATTAAAAAAAAAAGTTTAAATCTTTTTAAGGTAACATTTTAATAAAATTATTCAGCAATAGCAAAGTTGTCGATAAAATTGAACAAAAATACTTTCTTTTAGTTTTAGATTTTTAACTTAAATAATTATTTTACGGGGGTTTGTTAGGTTTTAAAATCATTCCATAATTTAAAAATATTTATTAACTGTTAGACAAATTTAGAGTATTTAAGAGTAATTTCGAGGAAACATTTTAAAAATTGGTTAGCGCAAATAAAAAAAAATAAAAAGATTAATATTAAAACGTATTCTACTTGATTCAATAAAAAAGTACAGCTACTAAAATTTTTGTAAAAAGTAACTCGAAAAAAATTACTTAAATAATAACAATAGCTTTTTTGTTAAAAGTTACCGAAACTCAACGAAGCGTGCTCAAGAACAGCTGCTGAAAAATAGAACATCAATAGTTTTTCGAATAATTTTTAATAATAATTTTTAAGAATAATTTTTTCGCTGAAATATTTCTTTTATACCTAAAAGATTTTTATTCTAACATTTTATTTTACTTTACCAAAAATAAAATTCCTTGTAAACATTAAAAATCTATTCAAAACGTTCGTTAAAGTTTTTTAATAATATGAGTGATTGTGCTTATCAACCGCTTTATGAAAATAAATAAAAATAAATAAATAAATAAATATTAAATAAAATCGCTAGTAAAAATATTAGCTATTGCACAGTTTTTAATCGTACAATATTAAAATTTCCAGTTTATTAGTCTCTTACTTTTTAAAAAGAAAAAATAATTATTTGAAAAACTTATGTTTTTTATTCGTTTAGTATAGACAAAACGTGTCAAACGTCAAGAAAATAAACAAATGTTTTGACATTTTAACAAGCGAAACATTCCAAAACTTTTTTAAGTAATAACATTTCTACATTAATGATTTAAAGTAGTTTTGCGGTAATTAAGTAAATTGTTGCAGTTAATGTCGATAAATATGAAAAGCAAATAAAAAGAATTTAATGACGTCAAAATTCACGTCGTGCTTATGCGTCCCGCAGTTTTTATTCATCACAAGGCCTGACCAGCCTCGCACCCCTTCTCCATCTATTAGGCTGGCGCAGATGTATTTTTAATACATTCCAGTTTAGGATGTTGAATGCTGGATCTCTGTTTTTATGACTAGGCAACTCATTCTATTATCTCCAAATGAGGGTACAGCTCTAAAACTCAGTTTTATGGTTCTGAGGCCAGCTGATTCCATCAACAGCTGAAAAATATCAGAGTACTAACAGTACCATGTTGCGCATGGATGGTGTCCCTGTTTGTACTTTTGGTGTGCATTGCCAAGGCCACATTGGAGCCCTTTGTTACGGCTTAGGGTTTATTAGTGGAAATGAGGCAATTGCTTGGGCTATAAAACAGTGTACTGAGTACTATCTATGTTTCGAGTCAAGTTCTTTAACAAATTTAAAAATGAATAAAGTAACAAAAACTATAAAACACAAAAAACCACAGTCATCACCTAGTTCGCTAAACCTATCATTCACCAATTTTCGTGGTCTTCGAAGTAACTTTTCTTCTGTTGAGTCTTATCTCTTGCAAAGTTCACCAGACTTACTTGCTCTTAGTAAGACTAATTTGAGTTCTTCTGTCTCATCTTGTGATCTTAGTTTTGATGGTTATCTTCCTTTAATTCGTAAAGGCTCCAATAGTCACATGCTTGGCCTAGGCATTTACATTCGTAAGATTTCCCCCATTTGTCTGGAAGCTAGGTTTGAATCCACAGACTACTCTTTTATGTGCTTTTGTTTAGCACCACTTCACTCTATCACCTTTCTCTTTGTTCTATATCGCTCTCCCTCATCTCAAGACTGCACTCTTCTTGATGTTATTTCTGATTATATTGACCAAGCCCTCATTCTTTATCCATCAGCCAATATTGTTGCTGTCGGTGACTTTAATGTTCATCACACTGAATGGCTTGGCTCTAGTGTCAGTGACTCCGCAGGCATTAAGGCCCACAACATTTGTCTTTCTCAATCCCTAACTCAAATAGTCAACTTTCCAACTCGCTTTCCAGACAACCCGAATCATTTACCTTCTCTACTCGACTTATGTCTTGTTTTTAATCCGAGTCAGTGCTCAGTTCCACCACACTCACCCTTAGGTTTTTCTGATCATGGTTTGGTCTCTCTAAAACTATTATCTCATTCTTCTTTACCATCAGAATCCCCCTATCATTGTACATCTTACAACTACCTTAAAGCTGACTGGGACTCTTTCCGTGATTTTCTTTGTAATGGCCCCTGGGTAGAAATCTTTTGTCTTCCTGTTGACAAATGTGCTTCTTACATAACTTCGTGGATTCAGGCTGGCATGGATTCCTTTATTCCCTCTCGACGATTCCAGGTCAAGCCTCACTCTTCTCCATGGTTTTCCTCACATTGTGCTGCTGCAATTGCCAATCGAAACCATTACTTCCTTATCTATCAGCAAAACAATTCTCCAGAAAACAGACATCTGTTTATTACTGCTAGGAACCATTATAAAAAGCTTTTGTCTAATGCCAAAGCCCGCTATTTTCAGATCATGAAATCTCGTATTTCATTACAAAAATTAGGCTCTCGTGACTTCTGGTGAATCTTTAATAGTATTAATAATAAGGGCAAGTCTGTAATTCCACCTCTTTTGTATGGTTCAGATTTTGTCACTTCACCTAAAGACAAAGCTCAATTGTTTGCCAAGAACTTTTCATCAATATCATCTCTTGATTCCACTAGTTGCGTTCTACCTAATATTGCTTTTCACACCTGCGCTATAAATTTTTTCTTTAAAAAAATATTTTTGTGATTTTTTTTTTTTTTTTTTTTAATTTAGCTTCTTTTTTTTAAGCCATTCTTAAAAGTATAGAATGTTTTTGTCTGAGTTTTTATTAGGATTCATAAAGTACGTCATGCTAAATTTTTTAAAAAAAGAAGTAGGATCATTTGCTCTCTAGCGCTGATATTTTTATTCAGCATAAAGCGCTTTTGAATTTAAATTACTTTAAATCTCGAAAAGGAGCACACTATTTCAACTGATGGTTGAAATGGGGAGTAGTCTTTTTTTTCATAATTCTTCAATTTTCCCCCTTTTATATATATATATATATATATATATATATATATATATATATATATATATATATATATATATATATATATATATATATATATATATATATATATATATATATATATATATATATATATATATATATATATTATATAGGAAATTTAAAATTTATTAAACATTTAATCATTTATTCCTCTTAATATTCAAAAGAAAAATCTGATAAAATTGTATTTGAAAGGTGCTCAATTTTATTATGATTATAGATTCGAATTGGCTGGATACTAAGCGAGGTAGATACAAAAAAAATAGCTCAACACAAGGGAGCTTCACATAAGGTAAGTGGTTAATACAAGGGTGCTTCAAATAAGGTAAGTGATTGACATAAGGGTGCTTGATGTAAGGTAAGTTAACTACTGGCCAAAAATATACTTTTTTTTAATTGAATTTAATTTACTGGAAATTTATAGAATTGCAGATAGCAATTTGCAAGTATAATAAATATAAATAAAAGTTATTATAGTAAATTATTATAATATATAAATATAAATAAAACTATAAATATAAATAAAAGTTATAATAATAAAACAATTTTTTTTTTAAATCAAATTGAAAATCATATTTAAAATTGGAAAAAGTTTTTCTTAACTTTGAACTTTTTAAATTGTTTAAAAAAATTGTCAAATAATTTTCAAATAAAAGAACTGTATAAATGTATGTTATAAAAATGTTGGTGACATAAATAAATGTTACAAAAATGTTGGTGACATAAAACGTTTATGTTGGTGACTTAAATATGCCATATACATGAGCAGAAATAAGAATTTCTTTGAATTTATTACTAATATTGATTTTCTAAATAACAAAAAGTAATATTTTAGATTAAAAATAAGATCATTAAACTGTAAACAGCACTATGAAATGGTAGTAATATAGTCATTTATATAAATAGCTTGTTGAATTTTACTGAAATTAATACTATTCAAATAGTTTAATTCCAAAAAAATTTTTAAAATCAGATTCTAAAAGAGAATAAAAAATACTGTCTGAAAAATATATACTTCAGGCATAACTGTCCCTTTATGCCCTGCTGTCCTGATATGCAACTACCCTACTGCTTTTTTTTCTTCATATAGTTTAATACTATAAAAATTTTCTATTAAAAAAAATAGAAAAGATTTTCAATAGTATAACAAATTATATTGAGGTTAGTTGACTAAATAAACTTAAAGTCTAATAAGTCTTAAAAACTTCAGTCTAGATCTAAGTCATAAATCAAGTTTGCAACAAGTCACTAAAAGTCTTTTTAAGCAAACTCACTAACTTGGCAAAAAACAAACAAACGCTGAAACAAAAAAAAAGAAAAGTGTTTATGTAAAATTTAAAGAGAAATGTTCTTTGCCATCTGTTTCTAACAACTAGAAAAACAAAAGACATTTGACTCTGGCAGCTTAAGTTTGTAATATTGGTAAAGTACTTGCTTTGTTATATTTAACTTTGATATAAAAAAAGATTAGAAAACCATGAAGCTTTTGGACCGCCTAAATTTTTAAAGAATTAGCATTAAATCATCAGTAGTTTAATAGCCAAAGTTCTCACTACTGCAGGAAATATGCATTATTGACACATACAAGAATCTTTATGCAGGTATGCAGCAATCATAAAGCAATTGTTTTAACCCTACTACATACTATTGCCATACTAAAATTTTGTCCCAATTACAAGTAATTCATTTTAAATCATAAAAATTTATTATTTTGATGAAAGATTAAACTAATTTACCCAAACTTAGTATTACCATTGAACTTTTTGCGTATGAAGTGAGTGCTCTACCACCAAGCCATCGCATAAATCTTTTTATATATTTATTAATAAGTAAAGTAAATTTAAAACTTGAGGAAACATTACTTATATTAAATAGTTTTAATAAATCTTTATTATTTTAGTTAACAGTAGAGGATGGTTCTCCTCATATTTTAAAAACAGTAGGAGAGGATGCTGTTGTTTATCACATTGACCTTCGGGAATCCCAACCTCACAAGTAATTTTAATCTTTAATTAGTTTAACAATATTGAGTTAAATACAACCTATCCAAATGTGTGATTAATTTTGTAATATTCTGAAAATAAAATTTTTTAAAAATGTTTATGCAAAATTTATAGATATTGTTTTTGTATAATTTAAGCAAATAATTGACTAATACAGTAAAAATAGCAAATATAATGTTAAAATATTTTCTATCAGGTCTTCAAAAATCATATCAAACTGGATATATATAGGTTCTTTGTGTACTGTTTAAATAAAAATTTTCAATATATCAAAATTCAAAAGTCATATTTTAAAATTTATATTTAAACTTATAGTTTTTAAAATAAATATATTAACAAAGCTATCATCTCCAGTTCCATCAACTCATTCTTACTTGACTCGTCATTCAGCAGTCTCTTTCCTTTACTGTATCTGTCCCTGCATGCTCTATAAATCTATAAATCTTCTTTTTTTTTCTACACATCAATCCTTTGGAATTCACTCCCATCTTTATGTTTTAACTGATACATACAACCTACAACTTTATAAGTCTTCTGTGAAACATTTCTTTGCTTTATAATTCTTTTCTTTTTTTCCTGGTAACTCCCAACTTAATAGTAATTGCTTGCAGCCTTTTGCTGCAGCCAATTGCTTGGCAGTGAATCAGAATAAAAATAATATACATATAATCTTATTATATATATATAAAGATTATATATATATATATATAAAGATTATATATATAAAGATTATATATATATATATATATAAAGATTATATATATAAAGATTATATATATATATATATAAAGATTATATATATATATATATATATATATATATATATATATATATATATATATATATATATATATATATATATATATATATATATATATATACATATATATATATATATTTATATATATGAGCGATTCCATTTTTAACTTACATTACATGCACGACAACTTTATCATATATTTGCCTATTTAAACTGTAAATTAAACTTTTAGCTATTTTGTATGAAAGCTGTTAGCCTAAAGAATAAAATAAGCTAAAAAGTTTTGAGTCTGGCTAAATGATGACAAGAATAGACATTGAAGAACCAGCAAACAAACCAGACTTGCTCTTCTTTGCAGAGTCATGGTTCACCGACACGTCAGACATTCGACTACCACGATACCAAACACATAAAAAAAACAGAGGAGGTAGGGGAGAAGGTGTTGTAATATACTAAAAAATAATATATCAGTAGCTGAAACAGATATAGCACAATTGAATTCATCCGACATAGAGCAAGTATGGCAATTTGTAAAGTTAGGTGAAGAATCGATTCGCCTGGGTTGCATTTATCTTACACAGGACAACGACAAAGTAATGCTTGAAAAAGTAATAAAGACAGTCGATACTGCAAAGCAAAGCATTTCAAAACTGGAATGCTCATCCATGTTAGTCTATGGTGACTTCACCTAGCTGGCATGCAAAATGAGCATCAAAGTGATATGTTATTCCAACAATGTCTAAACATGAACTTCCTTACACAAATGGTAATGTTCCATATCTATAGAAGAAATAGAGAAGAAGAGCTAAGAAGCACACTTAACTTACTTATCACAGACGAACCAGACCGAATTATCGATCTACATAAAGGCAACTCACTAGGTCACACACCAGCAGGTGAATCACATTGCTTTTTTTCATTTGGTTGATTTCAGTTTGTTCATTTGTAACAAAGAATGACAGACAACAACCAAAAGAGGCATATATGGACCAGAGCAAACTACGATGCCATCTCCGCACAAATAATAGCCATCGATTGGATAAGTATCTTCAATTCTTTTTCAGCTAAGGACAACTGTAAATTTTTAATAGAAAAAGTTAATAAAGCAATCGAAATCTACATACCTGCAACTACATTACCTTTCAAGAGTAAAAAAGAACCATCGAACACCCCTGAAGTTGAAGTAGCTGTGAGAGAGAAGAGAGCACTATGGCGCAAATAAAACTTAGCAGCTGGTAGATGGTCGCATGAGGAAATTTGTAAGGAGCACAAAGCAGCATGTAAAAGACTCAGCAAGATAGTGAAAGCAGCAACAGTTGACTATGAGAGGGAGATTGCAGCACGTTTCAATAATGATCCAAAACAACCTCATAACCAAGTTAAGCATAAGCAAATGGAAAATGAAATGGTGAAATCCCTCAAAAACAATGCAGGAATAATAACTACAAGTATGCAAGAAATTTCGTTAATAAATCAGTTTACTTAATAACTATTTTCAGTCTGCATTTGTTGTTGAGCCTCTAGATCAAATGCCAAACTTCAGATATCAAACTTATGCAAAGTGCAATTTAAATGAAGCTACAATCACTCATGCAGCTGTACAGCAAAAGCTTGAAAAACTAACCGAAACATGCACCCTCGTGTACTTCACAATTGCGCTGCTGCAATCTGTGTACCATTAGCAATGATCTACCACAAGTCCCTCTCTGAAGGCAAAGTACCCAATCTATGGATACTGTCAAATATAACACCAATCTTCAAGACCGGTAGCAGAAGGAAGCGCTCAAACTACTGACCAATATCACTGACATCAGCACCATGCAAGATAATGGAGAGTTTCATTGATGAGTGAATCATGAAACACTGCTATAACAATGGTCTATTCACAAAAGCTCAACACAGTTTTTTACCCAAGCAGGGCTGTGTGTCTAATCTATTAGATGCTCGCGACATTCTGATGGATGCAGTACGTCATGACTATGCCATAGACGTGATATACACTGATTTTGCAAAAGCCTTTGACAAAGTACCAGACAAAAGACTTCTGTATAAACTAAAAGCTTATGGTTTATGTGGCTCATTGTTCAGGTGGATATCAAACTGGCTGGCTAACCGAAAGCAAAGGGTTGTTGTTTGCAAAGCTTAATCTGAGTGGAAAGAGGTAACTAGTGAAGTGCCTCAGGGATCAGTGCTAGGACCGTTGGTCTTTGTCCTCTATATTAATGACTTACCGGACAACGTAGCTCACCACATCAAGACATATGCTGGCGACAGCAAAATACTAGATGTAATCAAAACAGAGGAGAACAAAGCACATCTCCATCTTGATATTGATACAGCTGTAGAATGGTCCAAAAAGGGGCTAATACTATTCAACTCAAATGGAAATGCATGCACATAGGTCGTTCCAACAAATCAGTCTATGTCTACACAATAACTTATCAGATGGGGATAAGACAAGAACTGAATCTAACTTCAGTCAAACGAGATCTAGGTGTTCTTATTTCAGAAGACTTAAAAGTCAAGCATCAAGTTGAAGCAGCGGCTGCAAGAGCAAACTAGGTACTTGGTCGGCTTAAGAAATCCTTCAGAAGCAGAGGTCTCATACTTTGGAAAATTCTTTACAAATTGTATATTGTCTCCACATTTGAAGGGAGACATCAAGGCTCTCGAAAGCATTCAAAAGCGTGCAATGAAGCTGATCACAGACATCTAACATAAATCATATGAAGAAAGACTTTTCTAGGACTAATCAAACTAGAAGATAGACGAGTTAAAAATGAATTAATTCAGCTATATAAGATTGCGCATTGAATTTGTTGAACCTCCAGTCTACGCGCAAACGCTTTCCCAGTATAACCTTCATTGCAATAGCTTCAGACTTACTAAGCTGATAGTCGAGAACTGTGTCAAAACAAAAAAGTTCTTCACAAACTGCGTAGTCAACGCAACCATCAAACATTGTTATCGCCTTTTCAATCGACGCATTCAAAAGTTGATTTAACGCATTAACAGTATAAGTATAGACACATCGTGTGTCCAATATTTGTCAGCATGGAGGTGCCTGGTGCTGCGCCTCTTCATCAATATATTATAAATATTTTATTCTTCATGGACTAAAATTGTTATAAATATTATTGATTTCTGAATAAACAAAATAAAATAAATAAATAAAAAAAGAGGGTGAACTTATTACTGAAAATGCCACCTAACTTAAGTTACACGGAAAACAAGGTAAAAAAATTGCTTCAACTTTTAGATCAGATTTCTGCGAATCAGTAAAGCAGTTTGTATTAGAAACTTTCACAAAATGTTGAGAATTTTATACCAATTTTGAAAATATAAAAAAATTTATTAGAGGCGATCAGCTAAGGAAAATAAACTTGTTTTTTTGATACTATATATTTAACTTATGTTACATCACTTACGTTACCAAGCAATTAGTATTATGGATTTTTTATATCTATTATTAAGAGTTATATTTTCAGCATTTTGCCAAAGTATTGAACTCAATGACAATTAGAAAAAACGTAATTTTCTGAAGCATAAAAATGGTATACTTTGAATAAACTTTCACTTGCTAACATCAATATTCATTTGCTACAAGTTGACAAAAAAGAGAATAAAATTTGACTACTTTTTCATTTTTCATTCTGCCGTGGAATCGCTCATATATATATATATATATATATATATATATATATATATATATATATATATATATATATATATATATATATATATATATATATATATATATATATATATAGAGAGAGAGAGAGAGAGAGAGAGAGAGATCTATTTTCTCTCTCTCTCTCTCTCTCTCTCTATATATATATATATATATATATATATATATATATATATATATATATATATATATATATATATATATATATATATATTATATATATATATATATATATCAGGCGTTGCGATAAAGCGTCGGGCGATGAGAATTTTACGTCGTCCAAGAGCGATTTTGCGTGTAGCTAGGGCTATTTGCGTCGAGCAAAAAATTTTTTGTTTGAGTACATTTAAAGATATTTTTGAGCGGAATTTTAATGAAGTAATTTACGATTATTTTAACATTTATTTTAAAAACCGCACGCAGTTGAAATAAAGGTTTGAATTAAAAAAAAATTAAATATGCTCATCATTAGAAGAAGAAGAAAAAATTCAGATTAAAAAAAAATTATAAATCTTTTAAGCTAACATTTTAATAGAATTATTCAGCAATAGCAAAAATGTCGATAAAATTGAACAAAAATACTTTCTTTTAGTTTTAGACTTTAAACTTAAATAATTATTTTACGGGGGTTTGTTAGGTTTTAAAAAAAAAAGATTTAAAAATATTTATTAACTGTTAGACGTATTTAAAGTATTTAAGAGTAATTTCGAGGAAACATTTTAAAAATTGGTGAGCGCTTTATGAAAATAAATAACAATAAATAAATATTATATAAAATCGCTTGTAAAAATTTTAGCTATTGCACAGTTTTTAATCGTACAAAATTAAAATTTCCAGTTTATTACTCGCTGACTTTTTAAATAGAAAAAATAATTATTTGAAAAACTATAAATTACATATTTAAGAAAAAAAAAATCAAATATTAGCATATTTTATAATCTTTTTTAAATTTAAGTTATAATGTTTTTTATTCGTTTAGTATAGACAAAACGTGACAAACGTCGAGAAAATAAACAAATGTTTTTACATTTTAAAAAACAAACATTCCAAAACATTTTTAAATAATAACATTTCTACATAAACGATTTAAAGTAGTTTTGCGGTAATTAAGTAAATTGGTGCAGTTAATGTCGATAAATATGAAAAGCAAATAAAAAGAATTTAATGACGTCAAAAATCACGTCGTGCTTATGCGTCGCGCAGTTCTTATTCATCGCAAGGCCTGTATATATATATATATATATATATATATATATATATATATATATATATATATATATATATATATATATATATATATATATAGAGAGAGAGAGAGAGAGAGAGAGAGAGAGAAATTAGATAAGTGTTTTTACTAATTTATATATATTTATATATATATATATATATATATATATATATATATATATATATATATATATATATATATATATATATATATATATATATATATATGTATGTATGTAGATACATACATACATACATACATACATACTAAATCCCAACTACCTGGATTAGTTGACCGGTTGGATAAAAATGATTTTACCCCAAAAAAAATTTTTTGGAAGCCCATTTTTAAGGCCCCTGTTTTTACAATTTGTGCCTTGAAACCCCAACTTTTTTAACCCAAAAGCGGGGACCTTAAACATTGACATAAAACACCAGTTTTTTTTTTCTATGTACTCTAAAAGGCCTAAATATTAATTTGGAATTGGTTGGGAAGTTTATAAGAAAAAAATATATACTAATTTAGGTCAAGAAGAATAGCCTAAAATGCACTAACTTATTTTATATATATATTATAGTTAAAAGTATATTTAAATAGAATGGCGCTTGCGATCGAATTTTACTCACTTGTGTCACAAACAAAAACAATCTTTCTTTTTTGAACTATCTATTCTAAAAAAAATTAGAAAAGATTAAGAAATGAATTTGTGCCATACTTTTACTTACAAGTTTTAAAAAGTGTACTGGTTTGACCTAGGAAAATGGGCGAAACGTTCTAATTTTAGGTAATTTTATGGATATATCTATTGACCAATTTTTTTATCTCTCAAACTTTCCGTGACAAATTTTATCAAATTCTTGTTTTCAAAGATTAATTTGATTTAAAATTCAATTTTAAAATTAATTTCTAATATAGGGACCCCCTATAGGAGGGTTAGTGGTGGGCGGTGAAGAGTTCGTTTCTTTCACACACCCTCTTCCATCTATTTTACTTTTTTTATATAATATTTTTGTACCATCTGCCTTAAAGTTTTATTTTTACATATAGTTTGATTAGATTTTTATATAGAAACTGCAAAATAAGCATTTTAATAAAACAATTTTATTTTGCTGAATATCATGTAGCTAGGATAGTTAAGGGAAAATAATAAATTTCCTGCTAAAAAAATATATATATAACAATATTGTTAAGGTCAACACTGATAAATTAGTAAATAATCAAGAAAAAATTATCTTTAAAAACAGTTTGTAAAACTATAACTCAACAAACTTTTCTTCCTGTTTTTGGTGAAAAATCAAATAAATATTCTCTAAACTATGCTTTGTCAGTGCCATTTTTTTTTTGCCACTCTCCGTAATTTGTACTTTTTTGAACTCTCTAAATTGATTCCTACTATGCTGAACGGCCAACATTAAATCTTCCCTGTCCTCTTCATTGTGAGCAGAATTAACAAACTCTGACACAAGCTTAATTGCTCGTTCAGAACATTGTTTGACGACATATATTCGGCGAACAAATTCAATGAAAGTTTTAAATTGGTTGATAAAGCCCAAAAAAGATGAAGGACAGTTCAGCCAAGGTTTATTATTGTCTTTACTCAAATTTAGTTCCTACTCGAGTTCCTGACCTTGTACTTATTGCTTTCTTTTTTGCATGTCTGATAGTAGATTCAGAAAGTGAGAAATCTGTCAAACTTCCCCCAGAAGTATCTACTATGTCAGAGAACAAGTGCATCATATTTCTAGGTGAAATATTTTTAAAAACACCTGTAATTGCAACTTCTTTTTCAAATTTGTTAGGTAATACTGTTATAGCACTAGTACCTGATTTAATTTCGTTTGCGGAATAGTCGGAATCCTGACAAGAAGAGACCTCACTTTGTTCTGATGATAAAAACTCAATTCTCTCAGTTTCTTGTTGCTCAATAAATGTTAAATATCGCAATCTTTTTTCTTCTATCTATATCAGCTTTCGGCAATATGCTAAATCCATTGAACCAAGTGTCATTTGATCATTTAAAAATTGCTTATCTGAATTGTATAAATCTAGGTTGTTTCCATGTTTCTTCTTCAACATGGAGCAAATATCAGGTTTTCCAAACTTTAAAGATGTTTATAGCTAATTCTGCTGCCTTGCCTTTTTTATTTTTATTTTTTTTCAACGTTGCCCAATTTTTTAACTAGATCATTTAATAGTTTCCTAGAACATATAATATTTATTTAACTTTTTTCTAATTGCTTTAAAACTTTTTAATGTAGCCTCATATCAGAGGCAGAGTGAAAAGAGTCATGTTAACAAATTAATATAAGCAAAAGTAAAATTTGGTAAAAATAAAAAAACTCTAATTATAGATTATTTAGCAAACCTGATTTGTTTGTCATGAAATATGTCGCGTCGTATCCTCTATTGATCCGTGGTTTCTTTATAGCAAAAAGGATGCAGTTCTGAGGACATATTGCTTGTTCAGAGCATGCTGACATCATTTTATCTTGGGAAGCAAAACCAATCAAAGTTTTGGTTGGAGTATTTTTGTCTAATAGTGCCTGAGTTATTAAGATTAAATTTAGATTTTATATATTTCATTTTTCAAACTGAAATTACTTTAATTACCTGGTTAATATATTGAATGATAATTTTTAATCAGTTTAATGTTTTAATCTGTAATGAAAATGAAGAATAGTCTCCTCAAAATTGTACTTTTATTGTACACAATTTGTTTTATTTTGTGTAAGTAACTTTAAAAAAAAGAAAGGTTACTGCTTTTTGGATAGTCTAGTAAATCTGTGGGAACCATCTGCAATATTTTGAAATTATGTTTAATTTTGTAGATATGTTTTTTAATCCTGATATCATATCAATTGGACTGTGTATTTCTAAATTTTTTTAATGTAATGCTCTATAACACTGTACTCCATCGATTCTCGTAAGCTGCCGTGTCCTGGCTTAGAAAATTTCTGTTTTATAATTTCAATGTTGCCTCTGTCTTCTGACTTTAAAAAATGAAGTAATGCTAAACTCTTTACTGAATTTTTTATTTTGCAGAACACATCAATTGTAAATAAAACAATCTGACCAAAGAATGATTTTATGTCTTTTACTGCATTTTTTAATATTCTCATAACTTTAAACAAACAATTACACATGCATTCAATTGAGGTTTGTTCAATATGTTAGATAAAATGCTTTACCATTTTATTTTTTGGATTTTAAACAAAAATGATATGAAAATTTTAACAAGCAATATCAATTCTATATATTTTATAGTAGATATTGAATAAGCATATCTTAAAATGAAATTCTGTAACAACAACTCATTTTCAGTAAAATCTGGATATTGAACAAACCAATTCTCATGTGACGGTTTTTTTTACCATTGTTGGTTTAATTTTTATGTGATTGCACATGTTATAAAATTTTTTTCCAAAAAAATGCTTTGTTTAGGTTTTTGCAATCCTCTGCTAACACTGTTTTTATTTTCAGAACAATTAACACTTCTAGTGTAACACTAATTAACAATAACACTCTTACCATGTTATCACCAATGACCTGTTCTTTTTCTTCCACATTATCACCAATGACCTGTTCTTTTTCTTCCACATTATAACCAATGACCTGTTTTTTTTTCTTCATCTGAATTGAGCTCAAGAATATAAAAATCATGTAATCTTTATGTATGTCCCTAATAGTCTTTGCATTTGATATTTCAAATAAAGTTGATTTTTGTTTTACATTATATTTATACCTAATTTTTTGAATCATTTTATAATTTAGTTAAATACATCATCTTACATAATGGATGAGATGTATTTAACTAAATTTCTTTTGAAGTTAACAATATCTAACTAATTTAGTATTATATTAAATACATCTTGTTTAATAGTTTTTTTAATTAAATTATTTATTATTAGTTAAATTTGTTGTATTTAATTTATATTTTCATATGTAATTAAAAAACTGAAATCAGATGATTTTATATGTGGTTAATCGATGTGGTTAATCGATGTGTGGTTAATCAATGGGTTTTAATTGGATAAAATCACTCAGTTTATTTAACATGCATTAAGTTAATATAAAATTTTTTTATATAAAAAAATTTGTTTAGATTAATGACTTTGAACACTCAAAAAAATTGTAAAGTACCTTTATTCAGTATAAGTTCTAATCCAATGAACTCTTGTGAATTTTGTGTTGCAGGACGAGACCCTTGGGCCAGGTAAGCTTGTAGAAAATTATGAAAGCTAATTATGTTCATTTATAATATTTATTATTATATATTATAAATTTAATACGCACAATTTTTGTATATTATTATGCACAATACATATTAGTTTTTTTGAAAAGTATGAGTTTGAAATTTGAAGGTTTTTTAAAGTAAATGAAACAAAAGTTGTTATACTTATAAAGGTTTTTTTACTGAAAATTATATTCAATCACATTTAGCTTTAGCAACAGTCAATTACATGATCAAAACATACGATAAATATAAAAATCATATATTATATATCATAGTCAAATATATGATAAACCATATATTATATATAATAGTTAAATATATGTTAAGTTGAAAATCAAATGGTTCCACTTTAACTAAAGCGCTAAAAAAAGGATATATGCATATAATGCATATATACAAAAAATTAGATTAAATTAACGTTAGTAAATTTTGTGGAACATGCCAAACAGCCACTTCTTCATTTGCTATACCTTCCTGGTAGTACCTTTCCACTTCTTCATCTTCTATACCTTTCTGGTAGTACCATGTTCTCTGTAAAGTCTTCTTAGTTGTAGTAGTGAGTCATAAACCTTATGTATGCACTTTTAATTGTTTTTTTAAATTGTAGTGGCTAGTGATTGACCAAAATCCTGTTTTAGTATCGGTTTTGACCAAAATTTCAATTTGAAACCAATATTTAGGTTTTCATAAATTCAGTAAGAAGCAAAATTTTGGTTGAAAAAAATACCAAAAACTGAAAATTTTGTATGATTTTAAATTTTTATTTACTTTAGAAAAATAGTTGTTTTTAACAATTTCGACAAATTTGGGTGACAGTATTGAACTAGTATACTCAAAATTTAGGTTTGTTTTGATTTCAATGTATTTCCTGTTTTGGTCAATCACTAGTAGTAATCAAACCCAACACACATGTATGCAAAATTAAGTGTTTTTTTTATTATAATGGTTAAGATTTAATAATTGAATAAAAAAAGTGCACTTTAAAGTTAAAAGAGAAACTTCGGCACCATATGAACTTTGAATTGCTCATCTAAAACACAGCAGCTAATCAATTGCATTACTTTTGATAAAAATATTGCATAGAGAAACATGTTGAGTGCCTATGATAGGCTGCATACCACCAGGGATGCTTGGTGGTATGCAGCCTATTGGGGACATTGTAGGAATTGAACTTGGAGTTTTTTTTTTATGATGTTTTTAATAGCATTAGATGTGTTTAATAACATTAGTTTTGTTTAGTAGCATAAATTTTGATTGTTAACATTCAATGTGTACCTTTAGATGTCTTTGTTATTTATTGTTGATACATAAAAGAGTTTTGACAATGTTTTTTATAAGCTTAATTTAAAATTATTAAACCCATTTTTTCCATCCATATACTTTTATATTGTTAATGATCTATTTAAAAATCTAATATTTAAATTACTTGCACATGTATTTCAGTTTTAGCAAAAAGTATATGAATATGATTGCTCAAATGGTGAATTTTTTTTTCTTAATTTGTATAATTTGCAGTTTTCTTGGGGGTTTTTTTCTTTAGCAAATATCCTTGTTTCTTGGAATTTTAATTAAAAAACCTTTTATCAAAACATGCTTTTTATTCACAAAGATACATAAAAAATTAGGTTTTAAATTATTTAGACTAATAAAAAAAAATAATAAAAACAATACTTGTGCAGCATTCACCTAGTTGACATTTTACTGTTTCATTCATTTGTTTCTTTTTAGAATATATGATACACGAAAAATTGATGAGAGTGTAAGAATTTTTTTTCTATTGTTTTGGCAGTTTTTAAAAATAGTTTTTTAAAATAACATTTTTATTTGTTTAATATACTAAAATGTTTTGTATATTAGTCACCTTTATCATACAATGCAATTTTAAAATATTTTTTTGTTTTAAATAGGGAAAAGAAGTCCTTAAAAAGTTTTGTCCTACAGAACTGCAGGTTCTTTTACATTTTCTTTTTTTTTAATACATTCCAGTCACAACCCCTCAGCAATGTTGTGGGAAGGTGATATAATTTAAAAAAATATTGTTTGATAAAAGTATTGTTATTTTTTTTTAATTTATTCTTTGTTGGTAAAAGTAGTCGCAAATAATTTTAACAATATAGTTATAAATTGCTTTAGGCTTATTCTGGATTTGCTGCAAATATAACATGTTCAATGTACAACTATAATGGATCAGGTAAGAAAAATTAAACTAAAAAAAAATTGGGGTTTAAAACTTTTTTCTTGATAATATTTTTTTTAGTTTTTTCACAGGGGTTAGTGGTTTTGTGACACGAGTTGTCACAAAACCACATATATAAAATTTACTTACAATATATAATAGTAAATAATTATGTCAATAATTTTTGGATGGTTAGAACACTAGTTCAGAATTAGAGGTCCAAGAAAGGCGACTTCAACATCCTTTTTAAATGTTTCTTCATGGTGCTCTGAGATATTTGGTCGTCTTGAATCATCCTAATAAAGAGGGGGGGAAAATGTTTTTATTGGATTATATTAAAATTGCCAATGTTTTTATTGGATTAGGATATCTTAAGATTGATTTTAAAAACCATGGAATGAAACCCATGAGAAAACATCAAAATCAGTTTATGCAGATTTTATTAGGTTATTGGAAACAAGTGTCTTTAACTGAAATTTGGGTTATCCAGAGTTTTCTCCAAATATCTGAAGTACTGTAAAATTATGCTCAAGACATGTTTAAAATCTTTTATGAGCATTTTTTAGTATAACCATTGAAGTAGCAATTTGTCAGATTGAATTAAAATAAATTTGTATGTTAACTTTTTTATGTTTTGTATATATTTTTTTCAACTGGTAGGGACTACCAGTTGAAAAATGTCCCTGGTAGTACCACGCTTAACTTGTTTCTCACTGAGCGGCTTTGTCTATCATAGTTCTTTTTGGTCTACGGAAGTGAATTAATGTAAATAATAAAAGTATAACTTTTATATAGATTTTATTATATTTTGTTCTTTGAAAAATATCAAAAACACTTAAGTTTGTTTTGGTAGCCATATTCATAGATGAGTTTTTTCCGGGAATTTCCGGAATTCCAGAAATTCATTTTTAATTTTTCAGAAATTTCCGGATGTTTTTTGTTATTAATTTGAAAAAAAAAATTATATATTTCTACATAAAATTTTAAATACTACAACTTTTGCATTTAAACAAATGTTTTCTATAATTAAAATTTTTACGAGATCAATTTTCGTAACAATTTTTTTACTTTTTTTTTTTTGCTTTTTAATTCATTCAAATTAACTTTTTTGAATATTAGAAATTCCTTTTTGTAAAAAGTTAAATATTCTAAATTTTTTTTTTTTTTTTTTTTTTTATTTTACTTCACCTCCTCAAGGTCGAGAAGGCCACTACAGACGAGGAGGCTACTTATTTTGTGGCTATAACCCTCTCTCAACTCTATAACTCCGAAACATGAACCTTGACGAACAAGGCCGCTGCGCGGAGAAACGAGTTGAGCGCGGTACTACCAGGGACGTGGTGGGGATCGAACTCGGAACCACTCGTTTATGAAGCGAGCGCTCTACCACTACACCACTACCGCATAAATTCTAAATACCGTTTTAAAAGTTTACGAAAGTTTTTGTTGTTTATTACAGGGTTATTCATTCTTATATGCGCGTCTATTCAATTGTATATGCGTATTTATTCATTTTTATATGCGTTTTAAAAAAGCAATAAGAACAAAAAAAAATCATTTAAACATTTTGTTTTGAAAAAACAATTTACTTTTTTCAAAACAAATTTTTCTTATTTCCTGGTTAACGAGGTTAAAAATACTTAAAACGAAGACTTTTTACATTCCATGATAGTTTATTTAATTTAGTATCAGGTCTTTGTTTAATTTTATTACATAATTAAATTTCTTGATTGATTAAATTATTATTTATCTAATTATTCATTTATATAGATTTAAATTTAATTGTTTATAATTATTATTAATATATCTATATAAAAATTTAAAAGCCTATTTCTTGTTTATATTAAATTATATTAGAGTATTTATTGGTGGTTGATTCGCATATAAATGCGCATATAAGGATGAATAAACATACATTAAAGAATGAATAAATGCGCATATAAGAATTAATAACCCTGTAAAATGATCAATTTTTAATTAAATAATTTTCCGGGATTTTTAAAAAGTCAAATAATCATCTATGCATATTAGATTTTTATCTGGTACAATAAAAAGTATTATGTATACAAAGTGATAAACCATAATAAGACATCTAAAACAGGTAAATGTTAAAATGTTTAAAAAAATATAATCAAAAAAAATTTTGACCACCACCAATTTGAACTTTATTATTTTTTAGAAAAATCAAAGCTTCCTAAAGGAATCTCATGATATACTTCTTTTTGTATTGGGTATCAGAATACCTAGAAAACTACATCATTTATATGAAATAGAATTTTCATAGAGAAGCTTTGATTTTTCTAAAAAATAATAAAGTTCAAACTATTTTTTTTCAAAAAAGTCTGATTTATTTGCATTGAAAATTTTATAAAATGATTTTCTAAATTAATTTATAGAGCATTTTATTTTCCATTTATTCTTTAAAGTTTTGTAGAATTCCAGTATCTCAGGTACAGTATCTTAGTATCTCAGGTACAGTATCTCAGTATCTCAGGTACAGTATATAAACTTGTATAAATGTTACTTTACAGATTGCATGTTTAATAACTGAATGATTATTTATTTTTGAATTTTCAATAGTTATTTATTTTAAAGTCTTATTTATCATATCTTTTAGGCATCTCAAGATATACTTCTTTTTGTATTGGGTATCAGAATACCTAGAAAACTACATCATTTTGAAATAGAATTTTCATAGAGAAGCTTTGATTTTTCTAAAAAATAATAAAGTTCAAATTATTTTTTTTCAAAACTATTAAACAAGTATTACAGAAGTTACAGCTAATTGTATGATATGTAATTGGTTTAAAAATCAAAAACTCTGAAATAAAACAGTCAAAAAAGAAATTGGGACAGAGTATCAGTATCTCTGAAACCATAGAGACGCTAAAGTTAATTTTTCATTAATTTAATCAAAATTCATTAAAATCTAAAAAGTCTCAAGTCTCTGAAACAAAATCTGAAGTTTCAAGCATAAGTTGATGTTGTTAATCATAAGTTGAGGTTGTTAAGCATAAGTTGAGGTTGTCAAGCATAAGTTGAGGTTGTCAAGTATAAGTTGGCATTGTCAAGCTTAAGTTGACATTGATTGACCCTTACACAAATAAAGCAATAACAAGATTTTTTTTTTAGAATTGTTATGCAGCTATAACGATGATGACATATATCTTTTTCATACAACAGACAGGTAACAGACAAGTTTTTTTTTAAGTTTTTTTGAAGATTTAAAAGTGATTTAGGAGTGAATGTTGTGTTATAAATAAAGTAATATAAAATGTAAAAGATATGTATAAGTATAAAAAGATATAATAGGTATAATAAGGCAGAGTTAATAATTTATAGAGATATGTTTTTAACAAATATGTTACCTAGGTTACAATTAGCAACATTTACTTTTACTGCAAAATGTAAATAAAAGAAAGTTGCAACTGATAATTTATTTAACTATAAGTGTGTATATATGTGTGTGCTCCTTAAACCAAAACCGAGGACATTGTGAAGTTTGCAAATAATGTTTTTATATGTATATGTATATATTTATTTGCCAACTTTTTTTGCTTACTAATTTCCATACATTTTATTTGGAAAAAGAAGACTTGGTCTTGAACTTCAAGTTTAAGACCAAGGCTTAGGTTCTTAAAGTTCAACACAATAAGACTGTGTTCACTGTGTTGTGTTCATTGTGTTGTGTATTTAAACTAGTTATACCTTTAGCAGATTTTACAATTAGTACGCATTACTCTATAATAAAACATAATTAGATATGTATAATATAATTATGTTATAGCACGTTGTGCAGTATATCCAAACAGCATTTTTGTTTCCCAGAAAGCTTTAGAAGTAAATGTTGCATCAGTTGTTTTAACATATAATGATGGGTTATTAGAATATGAAAAGTTATTCAATCATCAGTATAAAAAAATCCTGCTTCAGGCAATTTTTCTGAATGATTTTTACTTTTCAAGTAACAGTTGCTTTCCATAACTCACATTTTGCATGTTTTTATGCTGAATCAGCAAAGTAAAATATTTTTTGTTCATATTATAATGAAATAAAAATAGAAATTGAGAATATAAAAGATTTTTAATTTTTTACTATAGATCAGCAACTTTATTTTAATCTGCTGAGTAAGAACTAAGCGTATTGTTTTTGAAGAATAAATAGCAGAAACAAGAGTATTTATTAACAATTATATTAGTACATACACTTATTTAGGGTGTCGGAGAAACAAACTTTTTTTTTTATCCTAGGGTACCTCTCAAGTTTTTCCCATGCTCTGAAGTCCTTTGAGGTTGAAAATCAACGGAAAAAAAATCAGTAGTCAAAAAGTTATATCTGTAAATCTTAACAAAATTGTCAATTTGGGAAATTATGTCAAGTTAGTAAAGATACTTTTCTTATTTTTCTCAAAAACTTTTTTTTAATAAACTTAGGACATAAAAATGTTTACATTCTTGTTTTCAAAAATAATGTGAGCGCATACTTGTACGCAATAATCCAAATTTTTCCAGCACAAACATTAAAACGTTTGTTTGTTTTGTTGAAATTTATTCATGTATTGATTTTTTAACAAGAGTTCAATTATTTCAATCAGTTGTTGTGTCATTAGTTTCTCAAAAAGATGTGAAAACTAATGTGGGTTTAAAATTTATAAAGTTTCTTTTGGAAAATCAACTTTTAAAAGAAGAAGACGCAGAAACTGGATTAAAGCTAATTCATGGCGTATAGACTGGATTAAAGCAATCACTAACATATCATAACAATGAAGTTGCTCCAATTTCTGGTTTTGTCCAAAGAAAAAAAGAGAAAAGTATGCTAAAGTGTGTAAACGAGGATCCTTATCAATATTATCATCTATGATATAGAGCTTGATAACTATACTGAGAAAATAAATTATGACACCAAACCACCTAATAATGTCTACTATTTCTAAATATTTTCAACACAATATTTATAAAGCAAAATTTTAAACTTTTTACTTTTAATTAAAACTAAACTTAATTGAAATTTTGAACTTAAAAAATAAGCTTGACTTAAACATATCTCACACCAAAAGAAGTTTTTTTTCAGACTTATCTTAAAGGGTAATGTAGCTCTTTAAAAAAGTTAAAACTTACTTCACTCACGCTTGAGGTTGGAGGACCATCTTTATTTTGTGCTTATAAAGCACAATATAGTAAAAAAATTTTACTTCACGATAGCACGATAGCTTGCTGAGATGCACGATAGTGCTGATTCTTATAAATTACTGCTGTTATTTGATAACTATTTTGTGTTTTTTTATGTAAACTAATATGATTGTATCTTCAGGTTATATGTTTATTGACTTTCTGAATAAAGCCTTCTATTCACTTCATCAGGAGTCAATATTAAAAATGTTATTGGGGCAACATTAAAAATCATAGCTTTTACAAAAGACTACAATTATCTGGGCACAAAATCTAGACAGCTTTCTAATGTTCTTATACATAATGTTCATGAGTAGAGGAATTTGGTATATAAAATGTATCCTGTTAATTATATGACTTAGAGGATTACCCAATTTGTTAGATAATACCATGTTGAATATGAATTTCTATTAATCATTTTAATATGTGTGTATTTGATTAATGTAAATGTATATAATCAGGGTGGCCAGCAAATTTTCATGTTCATTCTCCACAACTTTTCATAAAAAAATAACAAAAACAACAAAAAATAACTAAAAATTTAACATACAAAGCAACAAAAAATTTTACATAGCCCTTTACTTTTACCCATAAACATAAACTTGCTTCAAAAGTGATCTCATTGATTTTTAAATAATGATGTTATTATGAGACTTTAAAAATACATTTTTGGCAATCTTATTTTGATTGTCAATTCAAATAATAACTTTTAGTTTGCAACCAATCAAAATTCCCTGAGTTTTGCATAATTTATTTAATTTCCTAACTTTAGCAGGATGTCCAAGTTGCTGGCCACCTTGATTATTTATAAATAAAAAAAGTAAATTTATAAAAAAGCATTGTATTATTATTTACAGATTAAAAATCTAAATACATTTATAAGAATGGTATTAGTGTTAATTTGAGCAACTGTGGCATTGTGATAGCGCACTTGCCTCAGAAACAAAGGATCTGTGGTTCAAACCCCACCCCTGGACAAGTTTTGCAACATAGGTTAGGAAGGAGGCGTGAACTTCCAATTAAATGCTCATCCGTGGTGCTCTGTGATAAGAATACAATTACTTCTTGGGGCACCTAAATAAAATTAAAAAAAAAAAATTTGTCTATTGTCTGGTTTAAAAATCTTTTCATCACCTTTTTGTACTGTACTGAACTATTTTGTTCCAACACAAGTGTAAAGTTTTTAATATTACAAGATTTTTTTACAATGCTATAATTTTTCTGAAACTAGGTCTTTATCATTTGCTGCTAACTTTCTTTCCATTTTCTGTTGATTTGTTACTACTTCTTGTTAAAATTGGCAATATTATGTGTCAGGGTGTTAACCAGGAATAATTTTAATTTGTTTTAACGAAATTGGGAATTTGTCAAAGTATTTCTCAATCACCTCCCCTCCCCTGAGATTAAAATGTGTTCCGGGAATGCATGTAAATTCTTTCTTATGTTCTTTTTTTTTTCTAATCCACTTCAGCGCTGCATACATTCATTGGACAGTGTCAAAAATAAAATACGGTTTGTAACATTAAAGATATATATGAAATCAACATAAAATTAAGTGTGGTTTTACAATGACACAGCAAATTAGGAACTGATTTCCAAACATATATTAGGAATGGTATAATGTTATATTATAATATAATCAGTGTATATTAATTAATTATCATTCAGAATAATAAATTTGATTTTTTTTTTAATCTTTTTTTAATCTTTTAATATATTGCCGCCGCCTTCATTTCAAGCGTATTATTTTTAATATATATTTATTTTTCAATATAGTAAAATAGCGATTTATGTTCAATGAAAATCTCTGCGGAAGAGAGCCAATGATCTTCTACTTCTAATTATTATTTAAATTCTGCTTGACGTACTTTATGGTCGAACCCTTACATCAGCATGTAATAAATTGTTTCATCAAAAGGAAGTTTTTGAAAATAGATAAGGTTTTAAAAATAGTAAACACGAGCTGGTAATTTTCATACTTCACATTTATTGAGAGTTCAATTTTATAATTAATAATAATTTATTTTATACATAAATTGCATAGCGAAGTAAAGTTATAATTACAAAGTCTCAGCAAAAACAACAACAAATGTGGTTTAATAATAGAGTAATATTGATAGCAAGCGATTGCATGCGTGGCATTGAAGAATACCAATAAATATTTTTTCATTCATAGGTATAAAATGTTATAACTATGTTTGTTCAAATTTTGCTTTTACATTTAAATTCAAGCAAGCGGTGACTTTTGTTTTCTGGTTTTTTAAATTTCTAGTACCAGTTTGTTGTTATAAAAAAAACATTTTTGTTATTAGGCGTATTTAAATTACGTTTTAATATACGCATTTAAATATTTACTTTTAAATACAAGTAAGCAGTAAAGCAAAGAAATCTATTTTCTTTGTTCAATAAATTTTTAGTACCTGTTCGTTATAATCATAAAAGATTTCTTGTATTTAATTTATTTTTCAGAGGTGGTTTTTTAAAAAAGTTAGTGAATTAATATATAGTAGATAAGTAAATAAGTAAACAAGTAAAAAACTTTAGTTGATGTGATCACCTAATTCAGTCGTTTTTATACCAATAATGGTGATTGTTTTATGCAATTAATGAATTATAATTTTTTTAAGTTATTTTTATATTAGTTTTGAATAATATAAAAATTAAATAATAACTTTAAGATTTATTATTAAACTTTAATTTGGAAACTTTATTTGGAGAATGGGATTTTTTCATCTTTAAATTGGGAATTTTAATTTTATGAGCATTTGGGAAAACTGCATTTGACGTGGCGCCACAGGGCTAGTTTACACCCTGGGTGTCTCTAACCACTGCATATCTGATGCTAAATTACTACTACTTAAAGATATTCAATTATGATATTGTTATTAAATTTCAAAAGGTTTTTAAAAGCAATATGAATTGAAAAACTTTACAAGATTTTTTGTTTTTTTTTTATGAGATCAATCTGAATATAAATTTTGCAGAAATATATAAAATATATACATAAAGGTTTTGAATA